CAGAAGCAGAACTCCAGGAACAAACATCACAACCCCCCAGACTGGCCTCATTCACCGAGACAAATGACCAGTTGGCTCCGTCGGAATATGACAGCCCCCGGACTCCACCACCTCCACCCCCATCCAAAATCTCTCTCTCTCTCTCTCTCTCTCTCTCTCTCTCTCTCTCTATCCCACCACAGAGAGAGCTGTCAACCGAACATTCCAACGTACTGTACAAAGTGTCTACACACTCTCTCTTACAGCATTGACCCACTCTTCTGACGTCAGCGAAATAGAATAATATCGGTGAGGCAGCGGGGTGAAATCAGACGCTCGTCAAAATAACGAAGTCGGAGAAACAGGCATTTTCCCGCCAGTATGGAATTATTTTCTTTTTTAACAGAATTTGCATTTTTTTGGCTTAACCTCTTTTATGTCCATATAAAAACACTTTTGCTTATGAAATTTACTGTAAAAACAATGATTAACCCTCTCCGTACGCCCAGGTGTCATTTTGTAACCCGGGGTTATATTCTTCACATTTTAGAATACTTCTAGTACGAAGATCTCTTTGAAACTTTCAGCATTTCTCCAAAAAAATCATTTTGACAGACTATTAAGCAAAGAGAACGGATCGGATTAACGAGTAAATTTTTTCTTTGGAAAGTGGTGGCTCAGAGTTCCCCACGTCGTATGGATACGATAGTAAAACACGACGTACGGTTAGGGTTAAAGGCATAAAATAATTATGTCATTCTTCAGTCTTCAAGGACTCTGTAGCTATTGGAGTTACCAAAACTTTGGCGGTCATTTTCTCGCAAACTGACAGCAGACGATCTCACTTCCTTCAATAGCAAATATCCTGAGTTCTATTTAAGATAAATGAATAATATGTATTTCATTTGAAGCAAGGCGAATAAATCAGCTTTCAGATGATAAGGCCTTCCGATAACTTCACATGCCCAAAATATTGACGAGCGCCTGATTCCACCGCGTCGTAACACAATAATATGTCGGTGAAGTTCCAGCAGGCAAGTGTGGATCGAACGGTATGATCTCCTAC